CATTAGTGTTTTTATCTTCTAACTATTCTTTTATGTTTTGTATTTGAGAATTACTTTTTATTTCTATATATTCTCTATTTGAGTTTCAACTAGTTCTATTTTAGCTTCTTTCTCTTTTACCTCTGATGTTTTTTTTATTATTATTTTTTCTTTCATTTACCTAGTATACTTAAAAGTTGTTATATATACTTGGTTTTGACTGAACTGTCTTTATTTCTCTTTCTGTTGTAAATATAATTATTGCAGTTTTCTATTCTATTTAGTAGATGATAAACTAATCTTGCATCTTTGCTTTTTAGACATTATAATAATAGAACTTTTGAAACATTACTTGACAGAATCATTAATTTTGCTGTGTACTGTTTTTGCTTTTGTCTTGTCTTATAGTCTTCTTTCTTTCTGTTACTTTTATCAGTTTATTATTGTTAACTAATATAGACTATAAGATGCTTTCTTCTTTTGTTTCTTCTATTTAGATTACTGCAAGAAACTTAAATTTAAATTTCTTAATCCTTGCCATATGTGTTTTGTTAAATCTTTTGCAAATATATTCTAGCTTTTTTCTATTTATACTTGTTGGCAAGTTCCAAATTGTTATATATTTTTAATCTTTTGTTTCTTTAATGTTAGTGTTTTTTTGGCCCTCTTTTGATTTATCTTTACTTCTTTCTTTTTTATGCTTTTTTTTTTTGTATTCTTGTATATTGGTTTTTTTATTTTAGTATTCTTCCTTATACTTTTTTTGCTCTTTCTTCTTTCTTCTTTGTCTTCTTCTGATATTATTCTGTATTAGTTGCTTTCTTTTTTATTTATTCTTTGTATTGTCTTATTTTTATTATATTTACAATTAAAATCTACTTCTATCCACAAATTTCTTTATTTAAAAACTTCTCTAATGTCCTTAATATGTTTATTATTTTTTAATAACCAACTAATAAACTTTATACATTTTTTTTTTGTTTTTTTAAACACATTATGTATAGATATATTAGCTAGTAGACTACTGTTTTTGTTGCAATTTTTTTTGCTTAACACCTATATACTCTTCTAAAGAAATTTTTACTATATCTATTTCTCTTTCAACTTCTTGTTTTCTTTTTCTTCTGTTGTTGAACCTTGTCTCAATTTTTATTATCTATTTTTATATCTTCTTATTTTGCTTTTTTTGTTTGTTCTCTTCTGGTTTTTATTATTTGTACAAATAATTTTTTTTTATTCAATTAGTATTTTCAACACTTATCTTTGTTTTTACTTTTTCTAATATAGTAAGATTTTCTTCTAGTAGTCTTCTTTTGTTTGTATCTTTTTTATCTATCTTTTTTTCAGTTTTTTGATCTGTTTTATGCATGTTTTTTTGTTTTTTCTCTTTCTTTATTGCTTCTTGTTGTGTTACTTTTTTTTTTTCTTGTTTGTGATTTCTTTTAAGTTTGATTGTTAGTATATTTTTGTCTTGCTTTGTGAAATCTAACTTATTTTCTAGCTGTTCTTTTTTTGTTTTTTAATTAATTCTTTTATTATTCTTAATAGGCAACTTTTCTAATTTTTGTTTAGTAAGCATAGCAACAATCTTATTTTCTTTATTTGGCATTATATATATTCTATTTAATTGATTGAAAAATATTTTGTTGTGTATTCTGTTCTTTGTTCAGTATGCTCTTTTCATAAAAATTATTAATAAACCTTCTCTATATTTTTCTAATTTTATGTTATATTTATATCTACCTGCTTCTGATTGGTTCCTCAAATTTTCTATTTATTTTTTTTATCTATATATAAAATTTGTTTATTTGTTGTATAATCCATCTATTAATTTTAATTTGGTAGTCTGCATATGTCTATTGTTGTTTTGCTATTACATATTTTTGTATAATATAAACAAATAAGTCTAATGGCAATTTTTTATTGTTGTTATTTTTCAAGAAAGACTTTTTTAAGTTTTTCTTCTTTCTTTTGTAGCTATACTATTAGTTTTGCAACACACTTTCTTTTATACTTTTTATTGCTTTCTGTATTACTACTTCTTTTTGTCTAATACTACTTAAGATGTTTCCTATTACCAATTTTTTAGAAATCTTCTAATTGTTTTTGTATTTGAGTAATTACTAGAAAGAGTTAAAATAATGTTTATCTATCATCAGAAAAAAAATAAAGAGTTATATATTGATTGGTAACCAAAAAATATATAATAATATAAATCACCCCTGCTAATTTATAATGATTGTGATACTAATTGATATATAATGAAAGAATATAAATCAATATATAACTGAAGTGATTATAATTGATATATAACCTAAACAATTAGAATCATATTAGATAATTTATTAATTATAATCACTTAGGTTTTATATCGATTATAATCAATAGATAGCCATAAGCTGATTATAATCAATATGTACTGTTATACTTATAATATTAGAATCGATATACACAAATCATTATATTAAATATTATAGTGATTTATTTTTATATTTATTAACTTAAAGTGAATAAAATTTATAAATTTAAATTAAATACAATTTATTTTATACATATAAGATACATTTTGCATGCAATACATTAAAAATTACAAAAAAAATACAATACTACTAATAGATCTCAAACAATTTGTTCTGTGCATTCTGTAAAAGAATTAAAAAATTACTTCAGGACAGGAGAGTTGTATTAAGATCAGGTTTAGTGTTAAAATTGGCCTGTATTGATTGCATTTGTGTTGATTGTTCAGCTTCTTGAGAATCTGAAGCAAGCTCATTATTAATGATTGTATTGGCTAATTCTTTGATTAGAACTGCTATTATCAAAGTTATTCTAGTATAATAAAGGTTAATATTTATTTTGTAATTATAATTAATATATTACAAATACTTACCAAATAGTGCACCATATAATGCTTAATTCAGCTTTCGCTACAGATAATATTTTTTAATTGAAGATTCAATATAATATTATACATAGCTAGTATGAAGGCACAATAATAGTTTGTAAGAGTAGAGGCAGCAGCCATGCTAAATGCAATTCTTGCAATAATTGCAACCCAAAAAATATCTTTATGATCTTGCTCATAGAGCACATTATAGCAATCATACACTTCTTGGCTTTGCTTCCATCTTATTATATTCTTAGCACTAGCATTGTTTCTGAGGCAAGGAAGCCTTTCATGACCTTATACACTTCAAATTGCCGAATGTACATTCTGCAATGCTAAACCATGCAGATTCTTTATTTTTTGTAAGAGCTATTAGAAATTGAGCATTATAAAAAATACTTAGACTTATTGAAAATGATTGATAATGATATAAAACAATATATACAAGTGTCAAATATTATTGCTTATCTGAGAACACTACACACCATGGAACTAGTTTGCAAAATTGTTTGTACTTAAGTTCGCTATGAATTCAGAAAACTTTTCATTCAAGTAGTCTTTAAGGTACTTTTTTATTTCATCTTAGATGAAATATATTATATGCAGAAAAAGGTGTTTGACAATACTAATATATACTTTCTGTAAAAATGTAAAAACAAAAGCACTCAAAATATGCTCTTGCTTTCTATAATACTTACATCCCACATTTTGGGCAAAAGATTCTTGCCTTGAATGCCTTGAGTGTCTTAAATATTTCTATACTGCATTTCATTCCTTAGATTTTGAAAATCATCACTTAACTGCCTGATCAGGAGGTATATTTAGTAGTTTTGAGCAAAAAAACATTCTTGATTCTCAGCTTTACAGCAATGATAACTTGAATGAGCTCAAAAAGATAACAAAAAAAAAGTTTCAAAAAAAAAAAAAAATTAGATTAAAAGATTGATATTCAAAAATCAAAAAAAAAATTTTTATATTATCATAATTATATGAATAATTTTAATTGGAAAATCAATAATCAAATAATGCAGATCTTCTATGTATTTGCTGTGGCTATGGTGATAACAATCATGATGCACAATGTGAGGTAGGTTGAGAAAGCAATGGTTGCCTAGAATAAGTTTGCTAGACAAATTGTCTGGAAGGTGATAGTTGCCTAGAGAAAGTTTATTGGATGAATTGTCTAAATTGTCTAGATTGTCTTAATTGGGTTGGAAGGAATGATTGATATTGCCTACTTCTACTACTCATTATGGAAAAAGTATTATGTGCACTTCTTATAGTTCTAGTAGATTTGTCAAAATCAGAGTCATTATTATAAGATAGTTGAGATGGTTGATAAGGACTAGTGATATTATTTGAATTATAATGAGAGTGGGTTGTATTGGTAGGGACAACTGAATAAGGAGCTGGTGGGTTGTTGTTAGAGTTATTTTCTATTTTCAAAATGTTTAAAATTTTATCTTTCAGATGCTAAAGTGATTAGACTTATATATTTAAAAAAAAAGCTTTAAACAATTAGTAATAAAAATAATATCTAATGATGTTAATTGTTGTATAAAATTAATAAAGAAAGTATACTTATTTCATTTGTGTTTTTGTTATTGCACTTGTTATGACAATCACTGAGATTTAATATGTATATATATATAATTTCTTGCTAAGATTTTTAAATTTAAAATATCATTAATAATATAATATGAAGTTTATTTTTACACATCATTTAATTAATTGTTATGTTTTGTTGTTTATATAAAAAATCAATTAATATCAAATTATATCGATGTATAACAATTTTATTATTTATTAGTTATATTTATTTTCTTTAAACTTCTTTATATTACTATAATATGCATTAGACTTTCTCTTAATACATTGTTTTTACTTTATTGCTTTTTACTAATATCTTTTTTTTCTTTATTTTTATCTAAAATGCATTAGAAGTATAGGCATTGTAAACAAGAATTTTCAAAGTTATTCACTTTATTACAACATGTCTCACAAAAACACCCTTATAACCAAGCTTCTACAAATCAAACTGTTTTGAATGAGCAGTTAAATAATATTTAGAATGTTCTAAAATATAGCTCTAGTTATTATGATTCTTTTACAGATTCTGAAATATGTAGTTAAATTACTAATTTAGATATAATTAATATATAATGATTGTCTTTGTTTAGAGCAAAAATATTTTGATTTTATCTTGATCTAAATCAAGTTTAAATAACTTTTATTCTATAGAAACAGAACCACTTTTAACAAATAATATGTCTTTTTCATAGAAGATGAAATACTTTAAAACATGTTTAATGAAAGTGATCATATAGATGCCCCAATAGATGATGTTTTATCTGAAGCTTTAGAAAGTAACCTTGATAACTATGAAGGGGCTTCATTTAATGATGCTTTTAATAACTTACAGCATTCACAAACTATTGAGTGGCCTAATGATGCATATTACAAATTTATAGAAATAATTAATACATATCAACTTTCAAATTCAGCAAATAGAGAACAATACATATCATATAACTATAAAATTAATTAATATATATCAACTTCCAAATTTAGTAAATGATGTTATTATAAAGCTCTTTAACAAATTCTCAAATTTGGATATTTTGCCACTTTCATTATCAACAAAGGCTAGAAAGAAATTTCTTAATAATACTACTATTCCTTATATGATGTTTAAAGAAATTTCTATATTAATACATAGAATATACATTCTACTATTAATCATTAATTAAGACTATTAAGTCTTTATTAATGATCAATAGTATTAATCAGTCACTAGTTCTTCAATATGATAATAAAAAAGAAGTAAATAATAATGTAGAGCATCGAATTTTTGAACAATAATATAGGCTGAGTACTAGAAAAAGGAACCAAATTAATATTTAACAAATCATGAAATAAACAGTAATTTGTGTTTTGATTACAACAGTGATCGACATGCATCCAACCTAATTTGGCATCGGAAAAATAGCCTATGTAACCCGAAAACTTATGAGAATTTCCGAGAAGTGCTGGGAAAAGGGACGAAATTAACAAAGATATGATTGGCTCAAATTTACAAACGTATTGCCGCAATTATCTTTTTATATTCTGCATGATACCAAGGAACAACACCCTCTTTTGTGTAGAATACACACCCACCTTTGTCTAGATAGTTTAATATAGTTTTATACTTAAGCGTTTTATAATATATTTTTATACTGTGAGATTCGATAAGGGAAGATAATATGCATGATGTAGAACTAGTTGCGGCAGTGTCAAAAATGTTTCGACATCGATTTTTAAGTAGGAATTAAGCTGCAAGTTATTATTTATGTCGCAATTCAGAACTCAAACCTAAAATAGATCAATGTGCCATAACCTAGGTTAAAAGCAATAATTAATTTGTATATTACAAATAAACATCACTCTGGTTATATCGATATCATCAACATTTTTTAATTTTGATCCAATATACTTAATATGAAAATGTCTTTGGTTAAGCTAACAGCTAGATATATCAAAAATTTCTTTGTTTTTGAGTATGTCGATTAGTGATGTGCTGCATACAGTACTATACATACTTACAGTATGTACTGTATGCTAAAATTTTTCAGGTATCATATAAATGGCACATCACTAATATCAATAATGAAAAACATTTTTATCTTTATTCATTTATTTAAAGTTAATTAATCATAGCATCAATATCGATGTAATTCTTTTTAATTTTGTTTTCAATTATTCAACATGATCTGAAGTTATATATAAAATTAAAAGAATCTAAATTATTTATGTTACCCATTAACAATTCATCTTTAGCTGATATATCTTTTTGTAAACAAGAATTAAAACAAATGATGATTTGAATTGAAAAAAAACTTTAAAATAGGTTTTTTTTTTTTTGAATATTCTCAAATAATCAATATTGTTTTTTTTTTTAAAAAAAAAAAAACTCAATAGAATCTTAGAATTAATGAAAAAGCATGTTTCATCTTAGAAAATTTCAATATTATCGTAAAACCTATTATTATATTAGTTGTAGTCTTTTATTAAAAGATCATAGTTTAGCAAATCAGTTTAAAATATGTCTACTTACTAGTTAAGTTTTTTGCTTTAGGATGAGTTACAGATAGCAATGGACAAAAGTCATCTTTTTTTGTAGAATCACGAATATGGTTACGAATTTGTTTGTACAGGTACCACTGTCGTTATGGAGATAACTTTTTGGCAAAGAGAGGGGCTGGAAGATTTAAAGAAGGGAATATAATCATTTTGTTTTGTTTTAGTAGTGCAATTTCTGTTTTTTCTTTACAAATTGCTGATTTTATCTCTACTTTTCCAGGTTTTTCTGATGAAATGATAAAATGATGTTGTTTTAGAATTTGTGGAATATTTCTAAACAATTCATTCAAAAATTCATCCCATTTATAAAATTTAACTTGTTGAACACCATTTGAATCATATACCGTTTATGCTGTATTATATCTACTAACAGTAGAGTTATTAACTACTTGAACCATATCTGCTAAGTTATCTACTTTAGAATTCCGAAGTTTTAATTTAATAAGCCCAAAAAAACTATCTGGAGAGAATTTTGTATGGCCAGCTACTATGAATGAATATATAATTCGTTTATGCAAACCATTTAAAACATGCCACATTAAATATTTTATCATCGTATTATTTTTATTTTGGCCAGGGCAATTGTCGGTATGGATAACAATATACTTTTCTCCAAGACCGTGATTTTCAAAATAATAATGAACCATTGAAACAACAGCATTTGCTCCCTTTCCGACATCCTCACATTCTTTAAGTAAATAATTTTTCTGAAACATAAATGAATTGATTTGATTAAAATAGGATTTAATGAACTAATAAATAATAAATATCTGCTATGGAAAAGCATCCTCACATATTCTGAATATTGAAACTTTATATAAGGATTTAAAATAAATAGACCCCTTAAAAAAAATAAATAAAAGATAAAAAAAAAAAAATTAAAATTTAAACCATTTTGTCATGTATAACAAAATTAAAATTGTCTCTTGTTCTTTAAAATTTAATAGCACACATGTAAGTCTGATAACAATTAAATTAATCAAATTGCATAACAATAATCATGCTTAATATAGATACAATCCAGAAATTTAGTTGTTAAAGTTTTGAATCATGGCGTATCTAAAGTAAATTTGTCAAGAATAAACCTGTTTGAATTTAAGCTTTATGCAGTATTGTAAAATAGAGTTGGGATTCCTTAAATATTCACGAATTCAAGAATGATATTAATTAATCTAATTCTTGACTATTTCAAATTCTATATAACTAAATATTCGCTTTTAATTGAATATTCATTTTTATCTGTGGATCTTATCTCTATTGTAAAACTATAGTAATCTGATAGTAAGTTACTAGTAAGTTGCCAGTGAAATTAACACATTGTATTCTGAAAGTTTCTGTGTTTGATGTTCGTTGATCATCTACCATCACGAACTTTTCTGATATAGTTGCTCTTTTTGGATAACTTTTCATCAAAATTCATGGTAACTTACTGGTAACTTATCTTAGTGACTAATATATTATATAAATTATAAATGCCAAGATTATAGAATTTAATGAGAGGTGTCAAAATTAAAATGTAAAAATCTAATTTTAATAAAAATTGAAGGATTTATTTTCAAGTAAGCATTATATCAATTTTACTTCATTTTCTAAATTTCAATTAATTTTATGAATAGGGTTTTCAAATATTTATGTTCTATCAAAATTTTAGATACAAGTAAAATTACTTCTATTTATTTTTTTGGAAATTATTACTTGTACATAGGTATGTTGATATATCAAAATTTAAAGATTTCTTGCAAAATTTGAGCATAAATTATGACCTTTTCTAACCATAAAGCCAATCTTATCTAACATTAGATCGGTTATATGTGACACAAATTTGTAAATTAATTAATACATTAATACCCATGTGTGTAAACTAATAAATTTCCTTTTTTTAATTTTGAAACTACTCAATATCGATATAATTACCTCTTGTTGTGAAGAAAATAGAAGGTGTACAGCTTCAGCAAAGTCCCATGAAATGTAATTCTCAAACTCTAAAGAATTTAATACTCATGAGTGTAAAAGCATAGATGGATTATTAAAAAATTTTAATTGTTGTTTTGTATTAACTATACATCACCTAAAATTTCAAATTCATATAAAATAATCACTTTAAAAAAACTATTATTACAAGTTCAGTCAAACCTCTCTAAGTGCAAGCCATAAGAACCAACTTTTGATAACTTGCATTTAGAGGACAATAAGAAAAATTGCATTTATGAGAGTCTGATATATATTTGGGCTGAAGTTAAATGTTGCATCTAGAGAGGTGTTGCACTTAAGTGTTGCATTTAAAGAGGTCTGACTGTAGATATTGGGCCCATTGAGAAACTCCTCATCCAAGTATTATTAGATTACCTAGGTTGTCTAGTCATATAATGATTTCTACTTAGATCCAATCTTTAATCACAGGTTTTTTACTTGTAATAATCCCATTCTTGATATGCCCAACTGATGTGATCATTCCATTGTTGAACATTTTGATTTCGTTCACTTTCTGTCCAGAATTGAGCATTAAATCGCATATTTTTGCAAAGCATACATAGATCATTTCGAGGTGATAAAAAGCGAATTTCTGGTATGTATTTTTTCCAAATTCATACAAAAGACCATTGACTAATATTAGGATCGAAAGTTTCATCTAAACTTGATTGATAAATATAATACAATCCAACATAACTATTACTCACAGGAAGATATGTAATAACTGTAGTATCTTCATGAAAGTGGCAACCCAATAAAAAATTTTATTTATGTGTATATTATTAATTAAATATTATATATTTAAATTTTTATTTGCAAGAACAAAATTGATGTATTAATGGCTTGGCATTTGATTTCAGATAAAATAAGAGATATATTTATTTCGAATTGAGTGATTTTAAATCTATTCTCTTAATTTTTTGATTTCAAAATATAAATAACTTATCACCTGGTCAATTCCATCTACATAACTTTTTCATGTACTCATCTCTACTAGACATATATCTATTTAATTTATACAAATGAGTATAAGTATTGTATTATCCTATTTAATCTTGAATGTCAAAAAAAAATACATAAAATAAAGGTTTCGCTCTTAAATAAGTATATAGAAGTTATGTTACTAGATGGCAGAGGATAAATCAGTTGTATCCAGTGTAGTTAGATATAAATAAAATTTTGCAGTAAAGTATAATCTGCCACATAAGTTGCAGATTATACTCCTATTGCAAAATTTCAATGTTTAGAATATAATTATTACTTATTTTTAAGATAAGTCACCCTAATATATCAATTTACTTGGTGATGGCAACCTATGGCAATTCGCATAATTGATGATAAATGTAAGAACATTTAAAATTGTTTCGAATGACAAAGCATGATGAAGTGATCTTCTTTCCGAAAGTGCATATACAATTGGTTTAATACCATTATCTCGATAATGACTACGAATGCTTTTTCACTTTTTATCTGACAATGAATATATAGTTTGAAAAGCTTTTTCGCAAATTTCGCTATCATTGAAATTATATTTAACAGTTAAATATTGTTTTTCTTTATTATACAAAGTATCTTTTGAATGGGCCATTACATAGAACATTCCTAAAATAAACATATTATACTCAGTCTTTGATAATTTTCGAATGCTATCAAAAGTTTGAAATGTGAACTCATGATCAATTTTAGTCAAACATTTTTTAGTTTTGCAACAAATTAATGTATGAAGTTTTTAAAAAAAAGCTTCTTTTTCCTGCTGGTCTAGAAGAGTTCATTAGTTTCTTGTTCTTCATTACTTTCTTTGATGGTATGTTGGGCAAATATTTTTCGAAATTGTTCAATTTGTAATGGCATAAGAATTTGGTTATCAAATTGTTGCATTTCTTGTTGTATTTCTTTGTCATCTTGTAAATTGCTAATTTTTACATTTTCAAAAGAAGATTCTTTTGTCTCAAATGTTTCCTTTAACTCATAATCATGATTTGTTTGATAGAATGTTTTGAGTTGATTAAAATCTTCTGCTAAAGAATATATTTTTGAATATGTTTCTAAAAAAATTGAAAAAACTAATGTATATATCGTATCCATTTTTTTATTTTATTTTTTTTGGTAAAATCAATATGAAATAAAAAAATACAGCTTATAACCATACAATTGATTAGACAAATATTGGAAAAAGTGACATTAAATTTTCATACATTATACTGCTACTTAACTTATACAAAGCATGCATAAAATACATAATTATGTATCAAAGTATTCGGACTTAAAATTTCCTTGTTCTCAATAATGCGGGTTCTCCAAAATATGACTATAAGTCTAAACTATAGCTTATTCAGAAAATAATTTAAACGATTGTAAATCAGTACATAAAAGCAATTGAAATCACTATTGTCAATGTTCTAGATAAAGAAAATTACTCATGTGTCTTTCAAGTTCTCTCAAGTCTATTTATGAAAATATGATTAGGTTATTGCCAAACTATGATGTCAAATTTAGTTTATAGTAATAAACGCCTACATGCATAAATAAAAAATAATAGATAAAAAAAAGACACTGCATATTCGCCATCATAACCATACCAACAAAACATAAGGTTCAATTATATATACAATTTAAGGATGAAATATGAAAACTAGAATATAATTCACATATTCTATAGTCGACAATTAAAAATTTAATGATGTACAACTCTGACCAAATTTATTCTATTATATTCAGCTTTCAATAATTGATCAGTGCTTTATTTTTATTTTTCTTAATTCCAATTTTTTGTTCATAACATAATCAAGTCAAAATATTCTAATAGAATCATTCATACTTACTGCATCTTAGGCTGCTTGAAGTTGGATTTTCGGTTAACATCACTTTTAGAACTCTTGGAAGGGGGGGGAATAAAATAAAATGAACATATAGAATGAACAAATATGAAACAATTTGATTAGTCAATATAAATCGAGAGATTAATGAGAGTTGTCCAGCATTTTGATTAGTTGTTCATTTCTCAGGTAGAGCCTTCAGTTGGGAGGGAGGTGATGTTGACCAAAGAACCAACTTCGAACGGCCTTAATTCCAATTCCATGTTCATAATAATAGCCAAGCCAGAAAATTTTCGCATATTCGATAATGAATGAATGAATTCTTAATTCAATTCCATGTTGAATAATGACCAAACAAAAGTATTATAGTACAATCATTCATATCTGCAGATTTTCGACAATGAATGAATGTATTATTTCATCTTTTCTAACTTCAAACTCCATGTTTGTAATCATAATAAGGCTATAATACTTCTGTCATATTTGTATAATTTGATAATAAATGAATGCCTCTTCTTAACTTCACTTCCATATTCACAATCCTGTATATTTCGTCTGAACTATCTATTGGATATCCCGATATCTGATCTTATTGAAATTACACAAGTATAAGTATAATGAATATTAAAACGTAGCTAGAGACGTCTATTCTACCCAGTTTTGGCCTATAACCCATTATGACTTATCAACTATTTATAGGTTGTGACCTTATTACCAGTTATGGCTTATAAAATTTACTGTTACGCCTGGTTATATAACCTCAAACGGCCAATACTAATTATGCCTGTATTCAAATAAACAATTATTTTTAAAATTCTAGTAGATATTTAATAAAAAAAATTATAAATTGAAAACACTCAATTTTAATTAAAGCCGTAAATACCCATTTGCTTAAATTTGAAAAGATGCTAATCAAAAAAAAAATTAGCAAGCTATGACTCATATTTATATTCTTAATATCCATGATTTTTATTGCCTTATTGGCATGCCGATAAAATCCGAAATGATCTTGTGATCTATATCGATTTACTTCAGAAATATTTATCTGATCAAACCAGTTTTTTATGTTATTTTGTCCAGAACACAAAATTTTATTAAGATAATAGCATTTCTACTTTAAGTAAAAAATGTTCCCAAGTTAATTTTAAATTAATTAAGCTCAAAAAATTGGTTTTCAAAAAATTTTAATTTGGTCACTTTTTCCAGCACTCAGCTCATATAATAGTAATTGGTAGAAGTGAAAAGAGTTGACATTACTTATTGGGCAATAATTGCTATCGCTTATTCCTTACTTTGATATAACAACTCTGAACTATATAAATAAACTTTTGAACATCCTATATTTTTATCACTTGGCAATATTTCAAACCATCAAAGAAATAAACCAGAATTCAAAACATTAGTTAAATTTCTTTCAATTTTGAAAGCCAAGAATAGTAAAACAAGAGATTCTGATGATTTTCAAAAAATACAATGAGAACTTTTCTACAAGTGTATATTGATTCTTCTCAAGCCTATTGTTAATAAGCCAAAGCTTTATTTTGTTATATATAGAAATATAATAATTTTTATTTTATGAATATCATTTATTATTTTTGATATGCTTAAAGCTAATAAGTTTGCTAATATGTATTAATCATCTTTTGCAAAATGGCCATGTGAAAAATGCTTAATATTAAATAATAACTTGAATAATACTAATTTAACAGATATAATTCCAAGAATTTTAACAACTATGAAGCAAATAATAGATAGCAATAATAATCATTGTTATTTAATACATTTTGAAAAAAATGCATTTTAGGATATAAGATATAAATTTTAGTTTATTGTTATTATATATATATTTTTTTTTTGATATTAAAGCAAGTAATTGCAATCTAGGAGTTTATTGATAATCAGTCAGCATATAACTATTATGTGCAATAGCTGCAAAGGCAATCATGAAAAGAGTGTACAACTAGCCACTCATACAACTTTATTTATTGTTTATTTTAAGTAGTCTGCTCAAAGGTTCTATACTAGTTGTCATACCTAGAACCTACCTATGGGTTCTCTATTTAAACACTCTAGTTTCTATATTTATCTCTACTCTATCAATTGCAAAATTTCTGCAAATATACCATGGTCACTAAGTCATTTTTAACTTTATACTAAGCCTACTAGAGCCTTCTGTATTTTATACTTATGGCTAACATAGTACTGCTCTGGCCTAGACCATTACTTGCAGTTAGAGCTAACTATTAAACTACTATACTCTTGTAAAATTCACAAGGACCTTGATACCTTTCTTTTCTAACTTCTACTCCTTATTTCTGGACCTACAAGACCTACAAGACATCACAAACTACCAATCCAGATGGCCTGTCTGGCAAACTTAGCAGCCTGGTTGGTATATGCTCCTCTACACATGTTGTCATTCGATTTATCTAAAATTCTAGTAATTCTTTTTTAGGGCCTTCTGATAGTTTAGTAGTACTGTCAAATTTTATGCTACCTTTTTACTCAGGATTTTCAAGTAGGTTTTTGACTCTTTGGATTTTTTCCTTTCTGTGCTCAGTGGTTTTATCATGAGTTTGCACTGAAGTCTTATGCAATATCAGTTATTGACATTCCTCTATGTGGGTATAATATTATACTTTGTATAAATGCCCCAAGCTTCCATTTGAGATGATATAACAAAGATTACAGATATACTAATCCAACTGATTGACAGAGACAGTTACCATAACACAGACCTTATTTTCCAAAATTCATCATTTATGGGATTTGAACTCTAAACTCTTCACTTGGGAATTGACAACTTGACCACTTCACTAGGTCACTACACTCTTTTTATTGTTATGATATTTACTGTATAAATAATATATATTGTTATAAATAACAAACTTAGAAACTTTAATATATATGACACCATTATACTTGATCAAATACATATCTTGGATCTTGGTCTCTTTAAGTATATGCTAGAATTTACTAAAGAACTTTTATATAAGTAATGTGAGAGCCAAATACTTCTAACTTTAAACAGTGATTATTTATGATTTCTTGATATTATGGTTTTAAAATAATAAAGAACATATCAAATATAACTCACATAATAGCTAATAAATTGTAAAATATATGCATAGCCTTACCATTAATATTTAAAAAAAAATAAATTATAAAATATAATGAAAATAATAATTTTTGCTCTTGATAACTTATATAAGAGTTATAGAAGATCAGAAATTAGTAATAAACAACTATACCAAGTTTATTACAAATTTCTTTAAATATAGATTGCTAGCTATGAAGAATTATTTACTTATAATTTATGTAATCTGCTTCAGATATAGAATGAAAGACATCTTTTTAATAAATTCTAATTACTAATGATTAACTTTGTAGGCTTTCATTATAAATTGGACAAAAGATTTTGTTGAAATATTTTCAGAATATTCTTGAAATAGTCTTCAATTATCTAAGCTTCATGCTTGGTGCTATTATATAATACATGCAATTTAAAAATATGAATTAATAAATAGTATGACCATGAAAACTTACAAAACTCTTCATAAGAATTATGTAAAAAGACCCTATTTTATGTCAAACAAAAAAGATTATATGAAACAAATATTAAGAATGTTATGCTTATAAATCTAGTAACTAATCGTTATCTATTACTATGTACTGATTAAATTATATTTTAACCAAATAATATATTGTAATATATAGCAAAGTAATAACTTAATTACTAGATAATATATGTATTTAAATATATTTGCTAGTAAATATATTTAAATACATATATTATCTAGTAATTAAGTTATTACTTTGCTATATATTACAATATATTATTTGGTTAAAATATAATTTTAATTATGAATAATTATTATATTAGGTTATATGACAAAAGTTAACTGAAAAAGAAGCCAAAAAGAAATATTACTAAGTAAAAAGGATTAAAAACTTTATGTGAACTTTAAGTTTAGATAAGTTGGATGATTTTTTTGAAAACAACAAAAATAATCTAAATTTATTACAATTTGAGAAGTTTCAAAACCTTTTAATCAGTCTTAATAAATTTTTTGAAAAAAAACCAATTTTGTCTTTTAATGATTTTAATCATATACAGGTATTTTTGTCAACTTTATTAAAAAGTACAGATATAATTTGTGCTATTGCTAGTTTTTATAAAAGTCTTATGTTTTCAAACATTGTAGTTAGTAGTTATGAAAATAATAAAAAAATAATTTGATATAGCTTGGTATGTATCGAACAGTTGTT